TCTCTGTTCACGAGGGGACTTCACCTGGGATCTCAAATGTAGAGGAGCTCCCCGGATGGCCCCAGTCTGCCCTGAGACCCTGGGTGCCACAGTTACCAACCAGTGGGGTTCCTGGTTCCTGTGGAGTTCCGGGTTTCTTAGATGTCGAGCCTCTGAGGGAGGCTGTGCCGTGGTGCTTCCAGTCACGGGAGCACAGTGATGTGGATCTTGAGGTGCACCATGAGGGCTGAGCTGCGGCTGAAGGCTTTGCCACAGTCGCTGCACTTGTAAGGCTTCTCTCCCGTGTGGGTCCGCTGGTGCTCAGTGAGGGAGGAGCTCTGGGCGAAGGCCTTGGGGCAGTCCTTACACCGGTAGGGCTTCTCTCCAGAGTGGATCCTCAGGGGGCGGACCAGCGCCGAGCAGTCACTGAAGGCTCTCCCGCACACTTCACACCGGTAGGGCTTCTCCCCGGTGTGGATGCGCTGGTGCTGGGTCAGGTGGGTGCTCTGGCTGAAGGCCTTGCCGCACATGTCACACTCGTAAGGCCGCTCCCCGGTGTGGACCCGCTGGTGCTGGGTGAGGTGGGTGCTGCGGCTGAAGGTTTTCCCACACTCCTCACACTTATAGGGCTTCTCCCCAGTGTGGACCCTCTGGTGCTGGGTCAGGTGGGTGACTCGTCGGAAGGCTTTCCCACACTCTTTACACGCATGGGGCTTTGCACCTGTGTGGACAACCTGGTGCTGGGCAAGGTGGGTGCTCCTGCTGAAGGCCTTCCCACACTCGATACAGGCGTAGGGCATCTTCTGAGAGTGGCTCTGCTGGTGGGCTTCCAGGGCTGGCGTAGTGGTGAATGTTCTCAAACAGTCACCGTACTTCTTTCCCGAGGACGTATCTGGGGGCACTGTCCCATAATCACACAGCGGGCCAAATCTCTCCACGGAAGAGGCCCTGTCTTGGGAAGGGAAGCTGGACCACAAGTTGGAACTGTTCCCTGAGGCATCCATGTGAGGCCCCAGGTCTTTTCTGAAATCCATCTCTTGGGCCGCAGACTTCATCCAGAGTGCTCCCAGGAGCTCTGGCTGGCTCTCACAGCTGCTCTCGGGTTTACAAGTGTGGGCAATGGTGGATCTGGGGGAAACACCTCCTATGAGTGTTTCGGTGGCCATGTCCGGTGGTTGTAACTCATCTGAATTGCTCTGCTTGCAACTTGCCTCTTCATGTCCCACTCCTGGCTCCCATCCTGGAATCATTCAAAGCACATCGTTACTTCCCCACCACAGGTCACCACACACCAGCCTCTCCATCTGCTTGAGACCCTGCTCGCCCACTCTGAAAGGGGAGATGTGGACCGGCCTTGTCATATGGCCCCATTTCCAAAGGGAAGTTTCCCCTCTGGTGTCTTGGGTAAGAAAAAGGATTCAGGGCTGTGCTCTTATACTACTCTAAATAGCATCATGGTTCTGATTTTTCCTCACCCAATCGAGCCATCCACTTTACCAAGGCTAAATGGGTCTGGCTAAAATGCCAAGCTGGGCCTGTGCATCTCCTCCTGGCAATCTTGGGCAGGGCCAAGCTCTGAGAGTTCAGGCTCTGTCCTTTAAAGTCAGCAGCTGCCTTTGGGAATAGTGGCTAAATGAGAATCAATCCAGATGCCTGTGACTGCCATCTCTCACAGCAGACCTCTAGGTAGACATCTGCTGCTATGGTTAGTGGGCGATTTACTTCCGAAACTCCCAGCTCTGTCTGAGTAAATAGGAGGGGGAGGCACACCCGCACTGACCAGCCCTTCAGACGTGCAAAGGGTATCTGAGGATACTTCATCTGGCAACATTTACAGATGAATCCCAGGGGTGAGTCAGAGAAGGATGCAAAAGCTGTTGTTCTACTCTACACTGGGGCTGAGTAGACTCACAAATAGGGCTCTAACCCCAGACTTTGAACTGCCAAGTTGTCAATCCTGAAGCTTTAACACTGCCATCATCTGGACCTCAGTTTGTCATACTGCTTGCCTGCCAGGGCTTATAAAGGTTTTGTTATATGCTAGACTCCGAGTGCAGCGTGTAACTCTCATGGCCTCATTTTGTTTCCAGAAGGAGGTACTTAGTTGTTTTGCTGTAGATGAGGAGACTAAGGCCCAGCAGAGGAGGTGCTGAGTTCCAGGTACTCTTAAGATCACAGGATTATGTGTGGTCAAGCACACTTTTAGTCCCAGCACTTGGGAGTCAGAGCCAGGAGAATCTCTGAGTTCAAGCCCAGCTAGTCTATAATACAGCTTGTTCCTAGCCACAGTGCTATATAGTAGTTCCAAGCTAAGAGCTACCTAGTAAGACCTTGTCTCCATGAATGGATAAGTCAATAAAATCATAGGAGTAGTAGAGATTCTGAGGGACTTGTGCTTGATCAGTTAGCTTGCGGCCAGATTGGGACTTGCTCTGGAAGCTCCTGGACTAGACTGTACCATGCTTGGTTCCTTGCATCCTACCAGACTTCTCTGAGCAGGGACTACATCTGTGTGTCTCCTTGAATGACAAGTACCTATTCCAGTTCAGGGCCATCCAACCACCCTCCAGATCTTGTGGGCTGGCACAGGGAAGGCCACAAGAGGATACACAGGGATACTTATCCCCGCCCCCCCCTCAAGGCATCCAGTCATTTCATCAGCAGCCTACACTTCCTTTGGGGAAGTGCCCCAGGCTCACTATTGGTTCCTGGGATTTGACTGTCCAAAGGCAAACACAAGATCTGACCAGCTCAGTGAGGCTCACAGTAGACCCTGCTAGCTGTTTTCCCCCTGTCCACTTGGGTAATAAACAAGTCAGGGACTGATGGGCTTACCTTTGTTCTCCCTGGGGAGATGCTTATAAGCCAGGGGTGTAGCTCAGCTGGCCGAGTGCTTACCTACATGCACGAAAGCCCTGGGTTTGATCCCTAGTACCACCTCAAGCTGGCTGTGGCGGCACAGGCCTGTAATCCCAGCACCTGGGAGGTGGAGGCAGGAGCATCAGGAGCGCAAGGTCACCCTCAGCTATGCGGTAGATTTGAGGTTAGCTTTGGTACAAGAGACCTCGTCTTTAATAAAAATAAAATAAGACTGATGTGGAAAAACCCAGATGTAATGGAGACAGAGAATTTGGGAGTGGGTGAGAGCAAGTGGGCCGGGTGTCAAGCTTTCCCTGGGCGTATGTATCTTCTGGATACTGCCGTATCTAAGCCCTTACCCTTAATTGCTTTGGAGGTGGCCACGTGTAACCATGGCTAAGGTACAAACGTGAGAACGAGCACCTGAGCGCGCGATTCTGAGCTTGCCCTCCTCCATTCGAGCCAGGCTGTGCCAGAGCGCTCTGTGACCCACCAGCCTGCGGCTCCTGCTCACCTCTCTTGTCCAGCAGCTGAGTCAGATCCTCCACCAGAACGGCAGCCTCCTTTCCGCTCTTGGGGCACTGAGCCCCCACCCAGGTCTGGATCTCGGGGGGCAGGGCACCCAGGAACTGCTCCAGCACCAGCAACTCCAGCATCTGTTCTTTGGAGGACGACTCCGGCCTCAGCCACTGGCAACACAGCTCTCGAAGCTGTGCGAGCGCCTGATGGGGGCTGGAGGCCGCCTCATAGCGGAAGTGCCGGAAGCGCAGGCGTGCGGCCTCAGGATGGGCGGTAGGGCTAGGGCTAGCTCCGTGGCTCTGGGAGAGGCCGGCTTCGTCCTCCTCTTTCACTTTCACTTGAAGGAGGCTGTCCTGTTCCCAGAGTACTGGGCTCAGAGGGCACTTGGGGATGGCCATTGGGTGGATGCACTCAGGGAGACACGGGATGGTTGGAGCCTCCGAATTGGGTCTGCAGAAATGTTAGAGCTCCGCCATCTGAAAAGAGGGAGGGAGGTGCAGGTTTGAGGTAGCCAGACTGGCCTCCAAGTCGCCATTCCCCTGCCTCATCTTGCTCAGTGCACGTACTACATGGCTGACTACCTCGCTTCTTTTTAAATGGGAGATAGATTATCTGGAGAAGGTGGTTGCCACCGTGCCACTCTTTCTCACATAGAAGAAGATGAGTGTAATCACCGTGGCAGAGCCTGCTCAGAGCTGAGGACGATGCTCAGTGGTTCCACGCACAAAATATACAACAGGGGCTGGAGAAATGGCTTGTATCCCCACCTGTCACGTGGAAGACCAGGGTTCGATTCCCCCAACAGGGAGACAGTGACCAGGTTTGCACCTGAGCAGGAGAGACCCACAAAATGCTTCCTGGTCAATGGCTCAGCGGTGAAGAGCACTGGCTGCTCTCCCAGAGGTCCTGAGTTCAAGTCCCAGCAACCACACGGTGGCTCACAACCATCTGTAATGGGATCTGATGCCCTCTTCTAGCATACAGGCATACATGCAGATAGAGCATATATACCAAACCAAACAAACACAAAACAAAACAAAACATACAACAGGAAGGAACCCACTAAGCTCCAGGGAGGAACCCACTAACCAGAGAGTTTCAAACCCACGGTCACAGATGATCCTGGTTAAATTCAGTAGATCTCAAAAACAAAACAGTCACGAATTCGAGAAGACCTCTAAGAAGGGGACCACAGGGGTGGGAGGGACATGGGGGATTATAGTAATGAGAATACATGTATGAAATGATCAAATAACAAATTCAATAAGGCTAAGAAAGAGGGGGGCAGGCAATGGGATGGCTCCCCAGGTAAAGGCACAGGAACCACATTAGCGGAAGGAGAGAACTGACTCTTGCATGTTGCCATTTGACCTCCACTTGAGTACCACATATTAAAAAAAAAAAAAAATCTGCAGGCTGGAGAGATGGCTCAAAGGTTAAGAGCACTGACTGCTCTTCCAGAGGTCCTGAGTTCAATTCCCTGCACCCACATGGTGGCTCACAACCATCCGTTATGAGATCTGGTGCCCTCTTCTGGTGTGCAGATAGACATGGAAGCAGAATGTTGTATACATAATAAATAAATAAAAATCTTAAAAAAAAAAATCTGCTTAGGGGTTGGAGAGATGGCTCAGAAGTAACCAGTGCTGGATACTCTTCCACAGGATTTGGGTTCCATTCCTAGCACCCACACAGTGGCTCACACACACCAGACTCAAGGAACATAAGCTGTATTCCTATTTTAGGGAAGACAGACAGATGGAAAGGATCTGCTCCAAGTCTCCCAGCTAGGGAAGGATTAGCAGGAGATTGCAAATGCAAGCAAACCCATGGCTAGCCACAGAGACACGTCTCCTGTCTCTTACACATTTCCTGTCTTCCTGTCTTTTGACCTGGTAACCACATGGCGAATTATTCACTTTTTCTGCCAGTTTCCAGACTGGCCTCTAGTTTACCATTCTCCTGCTTCATCCTCAGTGCATGTCCTACCAGGCCTGCCCACCTTGCTTCTTTCCAAATGTGTGCATGCGGGTTATCGAGATGGCTATCAGGTAAGGGGGCACGCCAACAGACCTGATGACATAAATTTGATACCTAGGACCTATGTGGCAGAAGGAGAAAACTGACTATTGAAAGTGGTATGTTGTAGCATGAAAGCACATAAATTAATAAATATAAAAGTCTAAGGTCATCTGGGTGGTACAGGTGCACGCCTTTAACCCCAGCATTCGGGAGGCAGAGGCAGTAGATATTTGTGAGTTCAAGGCCAGCTTGGTCTACAGAGCAGGTTCTAGGACACCAGGGCGACACAGAGAAACCCTGTCTTGAAAAAAAAAAAAAGTCTAAAAAATCAAGTGCATGTGTTTAAAACAATACATTTCCCTCTAAAAGGCTCTTGTTGTATATCACAATTTTGATAGGTTCTATCTATATTTTTTTTAAATTGAGGCAGGATCTCTCCTTTTTAAAAAAAGATTTATTATTTTATTTATTATGTATACACTGTTCTGCCTGCCTGTTAGAATAGGGCAGCAGATCCCATTACAGATGGTTGTGAGCCACCATGTGGTTGCTGGGATTGAACTGAGGAACAGCACAGCCATCTCTCCAGCCCCTTAGAAAAAAAGTTTTAGCCAGGCGTGGTGACACATACCTATAATCTCACCACTCAGAAGGCCAAGGCAGGAAGACTGAGAGATCAAGGCTATCCTGGGCTACAGAGCAAGACGCTTTCCCAGAAGTAAGTAAATAAATAAATGGTGGGTTTTTATGCTTTTTTTTTTTTTTTTTTTTTTTTTTTTTTTTTTTTTTTTTTGGCATTCTCTCCCTTCTGTATGTCAGGCCTCTACAAAAGATAACTCCGCAGAGGTTCTGCCCTGTACTTGGCTTTTTACTAGTCACCATTTGGTGGATAGCACAATTGTATCCACCTGCTTGTTTTTTTTAATTTTCCTGCCATCACTTTAAAAGTCAGGCGCTCTTCAGTCCAGGCGTGGGGGTCAATGTCCTGTAAATCCAGCACTTGGGAGGATGAAACAGGAAGACTGCAGCTCTGAAGGCTGGCTGAGCTACCTAGCAAGGCACTGCTTGCCCCCCCCCCTCCCAAAAGGAGAGGGGGCAAAGAGTCAACTCAGCAGGTGCATTTATTCACCCAGCAAGCCTGCTGCCCTGAGTTCAATCCCCAGATCCTGCAGAGAGCTGGACGCAGTAGAACACATCTGTAATCCCAGCACTTCTATGGCAGCAAAGGAGGCGGAGACCAGAGAATCACCAGGGAGCTTGTGGGCCAGCTAGTCTGCAGTACGCAGTGCAGCAGAAACAAGGAGAGGCAGGGCGTCAGACGCTGTGTTCTGGCCTCTGGGCACAGGCACATCCCATAGCACGCACATGCTCATGCTCACACAGACACACAAAATAATTAAAAACAGGTAAGGTGGGCATGGTGGCACAGTCTTTAATCCTAGCACTTAGGAGGGAGAGGCAGGCAGAGCTCTGAGTTTGAGGCCAGCCTGATTTACCTAGTGAATTTTAGGCCAGCCAGGGTTCACAGTGAGAGCCAGCCTCAAAACAGACAAGAGAGATAGTAGACAGACAGGCAACAATTCTCAAATGAGGTGGCTTGAATGACAGTGAACCCTGTAGGCTCAAATATTTGAATGCCTGGTCCCTACTTGGTAGAACTGCTTGGGAAGGATTAGGAGATGAGGTTTTGTTGGAGGAGGTGTGTCAGAGGGGGTGGGCTTTGAGGTTTCAAAAGCTCACACAATTCCCTGTTTGTTGTCTCTGCCTCTTTTATTTTATTTTATTATTTTATTTTTCAAGACACGGTTTCTCTTTGTTTCTTTGTAGACCAGGCAGGCCTCGAACTCAGAGAGACCCGCCTGCCTCTGCCACCAACACCCGGCTTGTCTCTGCCTCTTGATTGTGGATCAAATGTAAGTTCTCAGAGCTGGAGAGATGGCTCAGTGGTTAAGAACAGTAGCTGCTCTTCAAGAGGACCCGGGTTCTATTCCCAGCAACCACATGGCAGCTCACACCTGTCTGTAACTCCAGTTCCTGGGGATCTGGCATCCTTACACCAATGCACATAAAATAAAGTTAAAAATAAAGTATTAAAAAAAAAAGTAAGTTCTCAACTACTGTTTCAGCACCACGCATTCCTGTTGACATGCCTCCCACCATGACAACCGTGGACTCCATAAAAATGCTTTCTCCTGGGGACATGGTGTTTTATCATAACAATAGAAAAGTAAGGTACCAAACCCATCTCAAACCAATGAGCAAATGCAATCAAGGCAGGGGTTTGGGTTTACCTTACTGCTTACACATGTGCAAATGCCAGTCTTGCTTAAGACATTTTCAACGAGTTCCTTCTAGGTATCCAGCTCGGCTAAGGATGCCAAGACGAGGAAGACCTGGGGCCTGGGCTCAGCGCTTTTACTAGAAGAAGACAGGCAGGTTGATAAAGTAACTAGTAGGTGTGGCTATCATGTGGAACAGTCAGGAGAAAATAAGGTCAGTCACTGGAAACCGATTACGTGCTAGGCCACACCAGCCTTTTGTTTCTGTTGCCACACTATACTCTATGAGTCAGGATTACTGTTTCCATTTTAAAACTTGGGGAAACTGAGTTAGCTCCCAGGGTCATTTTTGTCAGTAAGTGGAGAGCTGGGCTTGGACCTCAGGCTCCTGATGTCCTTCTGTCTTTCCTTTATGGGGTAATGCCTTTCAACCTTTCCAAACCGCAGGAGAACAGTGCATAATAGATGCTGCTTAGGGCTGACGAGAAAGTCAGTTAAGAAGCCTTTTACAAAGAGTATGTTATCAGTTGGTAAGATGGCTCAGCAGGCAAAGGTGCTTGCTACCAAGTCTGCCAACCTAAATTCAATCCCTTAAGACCTACATGGTGAAAGGAGAGAACTGACTCCTATAAATTGTCCCCTGACCTCTACACATGGGCCATGCACACACACACACACACACACACACACACACACACACACACACACAGAGAGAGTCCTAGGATCCTTAAAATGGTCATGCCTTTTGGATCAATGTTACATTTCGAGTCTAGCTCTCCTTACATAACACAACTCACAATCCTCCTGCCATCTGACTCAGTATTAGTTCACTTCAGAACCAGTCACTGTTTCTAGAAGGGGAAGCTACTAACATCTGGAAGGGGACAACACTTCCTTCAGAGGCTTGGTACTCTGTTGTGAGATATCTGATTACACCGTGGAAAGATATGTCAGTGTGATTGGCTTAATAAAAAGCTACATGGCCAATAGCTAGGCAGGAGGTATAGGTGGGGCTTCCAGTGAGAGAGAGAGAGAGAGAGAGAGAGAGAGAGAGAGAGAGAGCGAGCTCTGGGAAGAAAAAAGGGAGCGTCACCAGCCAGACACTGAGAAAGCAGGACATGCAGGAGAGGTAAA